AAAAACTTCTGGCATGAAATAGTGTTTTTGCCGCGGTTGACCCCCGTGATGCAGTGTTTTTGGCTCTTTGACGTGCTCTCCGAGTGTGCGGCGATGTTGACGGCCGAAGCTGAGAACATTGCACTATCCGACGTGGTCAAGGAGTTGATTTGGTAGTCCGAGGTACTCGAAGAACTGGGATTTCCCCAAGGAAGAATTGTCGTACACTGCGACAACGAAAGCGCTATTGCGATCGCGAAGAACCCAGGCTAACATGAGCGAACGAAACATATCAGCACCAAGTGCCATTTTGTGCTGGACCACGTGGAGAAGGAACTCGTCGACTCCACTACTGTCCAACCAAGATGATGATCGCTGACATCCTCACCAAGGCAATTCCGCGGGAGCAATTCGAGACCCTGCGATCCAAGTTGGGGATTGAAGATGGAACCACGCACAGCGTGAACGTACGAGAAGTACACGGCAGCTAAACAGGCAAGCCAAGACTATCCTGCAGTCCGACTGGGCGACTGCAGATGGACCACGATTTGAGTGGAGTATGAGAAGTACACAGCTAAGACTGGTCAGTGTATTGAATGAATGGATTAGTAGTTAGTTCAGTGGGAACTTGACGAGCGTATTGCAATCGTCAATCCCTATCAACTTAGGCGTTATACAATGTATATGGAAATATAGCTGAGTGGTGAGTTCCCGCTTAGCATGCGGAAGGTACAGGGATCGATCCCAGCTAGGTGAGATATTCCGGATAATCTTGAGTTACCGGACAATCATCACCAGGCTGGCGGTTGGGCTCGGCACGGCACCTTTCCGCGAGCAGTCACAATGCCTACAAAAATAGTAGATGACCCTTGCGAGTAGACACAGCTCTTCCGTTTGGTTTTTAACTTACAATTGAATTTACCTTCAACCCACTAAGTGTTCCCTCTCCAACTCACTAATGCGTCATGGTTGCCGGTCACCGTGATGTCGTCGACGTATACAGTCAAAAGCACCACTGATTCTCCCACTCTTTTGATGTAGAGGCAGGCTTCCTTGACGCACTGCACGAAGCCGACTTCGACCAGAATCTTGTGCAGTGTCAAGCACCAGCATCTTGGGGCTTGCTTCAGACCGTAGATCGCCTTGACGAGCTTGCAAACCTTGTTCTCGAGGCCAGGCACGACGAAGTTGGGTGGCTGCTTCATATAGATTTCCGTGTCGTCATCCATGGCGCCGTTGAGAAACGCAACGACATCCATTTGACGCACATTCCAACTGTGCTTTGCAACCAAACACAGGATCAAGCGCAGCGTGTTGAGTCGAAGCACGGGTGCAAAGATCTCCGTGTAGTCGAGGTTTTCGCGCTGTAGGAATCCCTTGTTGACCAGGCGAGCCTTGTATTTGGTGAACTTCCCCATGGCATCGAGCTTGGTTTGCCATAACCACTTGCATGCGAGAGCCTTTCATCCTGGGGGCAGGTCGGTCAGAGTCCAAGTCTCATTGCTGACTAGCGAGTCGAACTCGGCTTGAGTTGCTTCAAGCCATTTGGTCTTGTTGGTACTTTCTTCGACGTCCTTGAACGACTGGGGCGACCGAATTCGCTTGGTGGCCACTTGGGTTGTTGTTGAATTCCATGTCCGAATCGTTCGAGTTTTCGGTGTTGGAGCATGCAGGTTCGGCGTCTTCATCCACTTCGTGTTGATCTTCGGAACTTGGTGTCGGTGTTGGTGCCGGTGTTGGGTCGACTTTCGCGTTCGTACTTGATGCTCCCACTGAAGCTTCTTGACGAGGAACTTCCACAGAGTCGAATGGCACTGCGTCTTCGACTGGTATGTCGTCGTTGTCATGTGCAGCATGCAAGTCGTCGTCAATCCGAACGTCTTCAGAGTCAAATCGCACTTGCTGCGTAGGATTCGGCGATGCACCTTCAACGAACTTGACTGAACGGTATTCAAACAGACCGCCGGAGTCCAGGTCGATGAGTCGATAGCTCTTGCGTTGACTTGAGTATCCCACAAACACGCACTTGGTCGCTCGAGGGTCGAGCTTGGTGCGCTTGGCCTTGTCGATAAACGCAAAAGCAGTGCATCCAAACGACCGAAGGTGCTCGATGTTTGGCTTTCGGCCATGAAGAGCCTCAAACGGAGTCTTGCCGCCGAGTGCCTTTGTGGGACTTCGGTTTTCGGTGTACACTACGTAGTTGAGTGCTTCATCCCAGTATTCGTTGGCCATGCCGGAGGCTTGCAGGATGCACCGGACTTTGTTCATGATGGTGTAGTTGGGCTTCTCGGCGATGCAGTTTTCTTCGGGCGAGTAAACGTTGGTGAAAAGTTGCTCGATGCCGAGGCTACTGCAGTACGCCTTGAGGTCCTTGTCCAGGTACTATTTGGCGTTGTCTGTCATGATTGCCTTGAGTTTTTCAGAACACGAACGCTCCGAGTGCACATGGAATTTCTTGAAGTTCGCCAGAGTTTCCGATTTGGATTCGAGCAGAAATAGCCACTTGAAACGCGATGCCTCGTTCACGTACAGCTCGGAGTGTCGTTTGCCACCGAGAGTTGGCGGCGTGATTGGACCACCCTTGTTGATGTGCACGCGCTCCAACGGCACTTGTGCACGGTATGGATGGGTGTTCTTGTAGCTCATCTTTCTCTCTTTGGCCACTTCGCATGTCTCGCACGAGTATTCTTCAGCCAGATCGGACTTGGTCAATCGCAGGCCGTCCATGACACCGTCACTTGCCGCTTGCTTAATTGCGCCAAAGTTGAGATGGGCCAAACGAAGGTGCCACTGCACCAATTTTGGAAGAGTTTCACGCACAACGCACGCGTTGACTTGCACTTCATGGGGTCGGAGGACATACAGGCCGCGGTGTTCCTCAAACTTGAGTATGATCGTATCCATGATCATGATCGCACTGAACAAATCCCAACGCGCAAGTTCGAATCCATCCTTCAAGAGCTGACGAAAGGACATAGGTTCTTGGTCACGCTAGCCACATACTTGGCACTTGCCCGCTCGAGGCGATAAGTTTCGTCCACTTGAATGGCCAGAGCGCCACTGTGAGTCGCCGTCACCGTGGAGTTGTCTACAAGACTCAGCGTCACGGGACAGTTTCTTGAACTTGGTCTTGTCACCAGTCACGTCTGCCGTGCATGCACTGTCGAGGATCCATCCATCGGAGAAGTCGATGAAGATCTGGGTTGTAGCCAGGATGAAGCCTTGGTCGATGTCATCGAGGATATTGACTTCATGGTCTTCAGGTGTTGGTAAGCACTTGCCGCGGTTGCCCTTGGCCAAGTCGCGCTTCTTGAATCTGCATTCGATGGCATGGTGGCCGATCTTGTGGCAGTTGGAGACGGCTCACGACTGCTCAGAATCTCCACTTCGTTGGGTACGCTTCCTTGGCACTTGTAAGCAGAACACGGCCGAGCATGTCATCGTCCACACGAGATCCCATGAGAAGCAGCTTCTGTTGCAAGATACGCAGCTCCGTGATGTGCTTCTGCATCGAGGAACCAGTCACATACACCTTGGTGTGGAGCTCGTGGATGACATGGGACACGTCCGCATACGTTCGCGCTTCATATCGTCGACCAGGAGCTGCCTCACTTCAGTCGAGGTCGCCACATGTGACACATAGGCCAGGTTGTCGTCGTCGGGGGAGTTGACGAGCAAGTCGAACTCGTCTTCTTCCTCGCTGTCGTAGTCTTCATCGTCATCGTCATCGCTCTGTTCGTCGCCGTTGACGACTTTCCAGAGGCCCTTGCTGCGCAGCTTCGCTTGAATTCGCACCTTGAAGATGTCGAAATTTGCGCCACGAAACACGAGAGGCTGCGCCTTGTTGTTGTCCTTGAAGATGTCGGTAGTTGGGCTCATCACCTTAGAGAGATGGAGAGAGAACACTTGATGGGTTGAAGGTAAATTCAATTGTAAGTTAAAAACCAAACGGAAGGGCTGTGCCTACTCGCAAGGGTCATTGCTGTGCCTACTCGTAAGGGTCACCTACTATTTTTGTAGACATTGTGACTGCTCGCGGAAAGGCGCCGAGCCCAACCGCCAGCCTGGTGATGATTGTCCGGTAACCTCAAGATTATCCGGAATATCTCACCTAGCCGGGATCGATCCCTGTACCTTCCGCATGCTAAGCGGGAGCTCACCACTCAGCTATATTTCCAAATACATTGTATAACGCCTAAGTTGATAGGGATTGACGATTGCAATACGCTCGTCAAGTTCCCACTCAACTACTAATCCATTCATTCAATACACTAGCTAAACAGTCTTAGCTATGTACTTCTCATATGCACGTACCCCACACAGCTCGTGCAATTTGCCAACGCCTTAACCACTCGGCCAAGCTGACTGAGTGGTTAAGGTGTTGGCAAGACGAATTCGTGGACCTTGACAGCCAACGCACACCCCACCTGATAAAAACTTCTGGCATGAAAGAGTGTTTTTGCCGCGGTTGACCCCCGTGATGCAGTGTTTTTGGCTCTTCGACGTGCTTTCCCGAGTGTGCACGTACCCCACACAGCTCGTGCAACTTGCCAACGCACACCCCACCTGATAAAAACTTCTGAACTTTCCAATTTGCCTCGTACCCCTCACGTCAAGAAAGCCTTCAAGTGCCGCCGTGCTCAAGATGTCCAAGATGCCATCTGTCAAGTTGCTCCGTGAGACCATCACTCACGGAGTCGAAAAATCAAACTTCCATCTGGAAGATGTGTCAGGGCCAACCATCCATCCATCCAAATGACGGTGTGAGTAACAATTCGTTACTCACCCAACTTCGAAGTTAGACTACGGTCGAAATCGAAGTTGGCGACTCCTTCGACCCTCCTGGTGCTGGATCTGCGTCGCCTCCGGAAGACCGCCCCCGGGTTTCACCTGACGCTCCACTCTCTGGGGCGTCAGTAAGGGCTAGCCACCACTCCCAAGGTACGTCGGTGGCTAGTCCTTCCCCCACTGTTAAGACCGTGGTGTCTCGTCGGGCTGGTCACCCTTGTCTAGCTAACCCTCCCGTCGCGCCGAGACAGGGCAGTCCAATCCCTTTTGGAAAGCTCAACTGCGGAACGACTGCCGATGTCTAGCCAAGACCTCACTCAGCCTGCCCCTCGAGACGGTGGTTGTGTGTACACGTCCCCCGTGCGGCGTGACGCGGTAGTGACATCGGAAGTGACCGAACCAATGCGTCATGAGGCTGAGAGTTCCTTCATTGGTGAACACCTCCTGGATCCTACTGTCACTCGCGGAGTCTCAGACGGAGATGGCAGTATCCCAGGGGTGAATCTCGCCGATCTCAGGGTACAACTCCAAGTGCCGCATGAGAACGCGGGGAGGGCCTTAGTCGAAAGACCCTTTGGATCTACCGCTACAGCATGTCTGGCCCCGACCAGTCTTGTCAACAATGAGGCTGGTCACACGACTACCAACCGTGCACCCGTCTGTGATGAGCCTCCCAGAACGGGGGATGAATCAACTCCAACTCAAGAAAACGCAGATCCAGCATCAGGAGTGGTTGGAGCTGAGGAGTCAGCTTTCGATCGAGACTCGTCGAACAAGTCTCACCACGATCGAGTTGACCATGGGCAGTCCTCTCATGGGAGAGATTCGAATCACTCGTCCAGCAACACGCAAGACCAAACGTGGACCACAATGACGATGCGAAATCTAAACATGCCACGTCTGCGGTGGACAAG